CGTTGGGGGGTTGTGGAGTTTTGCTGTCCGGTTGAACCAACCTAACAGATTTATATATATAGATTCAAAAACATTTAACCTACGGATGCCTAAATTAATGTAATTTTATTGGTATCTGTTTTTGTTTTGAAATTTACCAGTAGCTGCTGCATTTCCCACCCTTGGCTTTTACTCAAGTCAATAAGTTTTTCCAGTTTTCTGTAGTAAAATTAGGTGCCTTGGCTTATATTCGGGTTGGCTTATACTCGAGTAGCTATGGTAATTAAGCTTCTTGAGTTCTATCCTGTCACATGGAACAATGACAACACAATTGCACTACTATTGTACTATTAGTGAAGACAAAGGATAATTGGGAATGACAAAACCAAAAGAGTGGGGGGGGGGAGAGCTAATTATTACATCACAAATCAGGATTCCCCAAAATTGGATGGGATAGAGTCATATCTCAATTAGTTGGTTCAACCAGGTATAAAATCAATCACTTTAGAGGGAGTTGAATTTTCATCTTCAGGCAATTCTTGTAGACTGCATAAAGACCATAACAAAAATGCCATTCCAATTCACTGCTGCCCCTTTGTGTGCAAGAGTGCAACATAGTACTGCTATTCCCGGACAGTCTATTACATCTCCTCCTTCCTCCTGTCTAAATGATGGCCCAAATGTATGAGATGCCGTTCACCACCCATTAAGCTTTTTTCAAAGACCAAGATTGTCTAATAACTGTTCCCAGAGTAGCTATTTGTTTGTAGCTTGCTTGTCTCCTGCTGCTAAATTATTAATGTGCTCATCTATAAACCAGATCTGGGTTGAAATAGCTGCTGTGCTTTTTTTTTTTTTGCTTCCCCCCCCCCCCCCCCCGCAATTCTGGGTAGCTTCTTTTAAAAACCATGCATTGGATAAATAGTGTGGAGTTGCAGGGGGTGTGGCTTTTAAATTTCACATACCACCCTCTGGTTTTTCACCATTGTCAACTTTAAACATAGGCACATCATCATCATCATCATCATCTTTATTTGTACCCTGCCACCATCTCCCCAAAGGGACTCGGAGTGGCTCACAGAAGCACTCCAAGTGCCACATGCAGACAACAACATATAAGTATAAATACAATGACATAAGTATAAGCAACAGCGCAAAAGAATCTCATTGATAAAATTATAAAAAATTGAAAATTATAACATTCCTAAAATGCAGTGGAACCTGCGGGCTGGCTAGCTATCATAACAATCAATCAAAGTGCGGGCCAGTACTATTAATGATTAATTGATAGTAAAATTGCCAATATAGTTAGTGGTCCTTTCTGTATCATTTCCTGACCTCTGAAACGTGCCATATCATGACCTGAATCTTCAATATGACATTGAGATCATTTCTATTAACAACATATATCTTTATCATGTATTCAGGTTTTGTAACTGTCCAGGATGATAAAGTGAACAATAGTGGAAGAAAGTGTGATTCATAAGATTATGAATAATGTTTGGTTTACATTACAAGGAGACTTGAAAATTATTTTGCTATCTAATGGGTAACCAACCATCACCGGAGCCCCCAGTGGCACAGTGGGTTAAACCATTGAGCTGCTGAATTTACGGACAGAAAGGTCGCCAGTTCGAATCCAGGGAGCGCGGTGAGCTCCCACTGTTAGCCCCAGTTTCTGCCAACCTAGCAGTTCGAAAATATGCAAGTGTAAGTAGGATAGCTTTATCTAACCATCACAGTAGAAATCTTTGGTTCAATGTTGACAACATTTTATCCTAGGGACTATGGAATTAGACTTATAAAATTATACAAGGCAACTATTTATTGGCTTTATAATATCTAAAGGGGCTTCTGTACATCATCCTGTATGAAGATTCCCCTGCTCCATCAGACTTAGGGCTTATTTAATTCACCACCATTTCCCCCAGCAGGCAACCAGATGTCTCTTGGAAGTCCATAAAATGTACTTCCTCCATGTAGAAAAAATTAAAAACCACTCATCGTTTGTTTTTTCAAAAAATAAAAAAGTTCAGAAACTTCTGATGTTTTCTAGATATAACATGTGTTACGTTTCCTGTTGCACTTTTGTAACTGAAACATTGGATTCAGAATTCAAAATTCTTGCATTATACAAGCAAATAGCTGGGGAAACTTTTGAATGGGTACTGCTATCATAGCATTCTGCTTTTGATAAATGTTTTGTTTGCATGAGTAGCATGAATGCTATTATTGACTCCAGCATTGTTGAACAGCACCTTCTTTGTTCCATTTATTCCTAAACGTTGGTCTGTCTTACTTGAAACTTCAGTATCCGCAGGGCTGTTGAGAATAGCATGTTTGTGGAACAAGCATTTGAGACCATAGACACATTTTTGCACGTGTTTATAGTAGTGCTTGAAATGCATGAATCCTGTGGCAACACTATGACTAATGCTCAAATAGATTGAACCATGAAGAATAAAAGGATAGAATTGCATCGTGTATTTTATGACTGTTAGCATTAATAAGGCAAATTGATTCTAACTGTTTCATAATTGATAGCAGTTATGGTGGGAGATGTCTCGGTATTAGAAAGAACAACTTACTTGTATTCTTATTATCAAGATGCTGGATAGTGTCACTTGACAATATATAAATGGCCTAAACATGCATTGGGTTGGGAATTAAAAGCAAGCACAAGAGTACCTTAACCATCTGGGTTCATCATAGGATTGAAAGGCCAGAAAAGGCAGATGCCGGTAAAACATTTAAGAGAAAATAATAGCTTTCAAAAATGCATTTATTCTGCATAGCATGATTCTCAGGTTTTATTTCGTCTGTAATGTCTGCTCAAAAATGCATTCCAGGTTTAAAAGCATCATTTGACTACAGACATGAAAGAAAAAAAGTAATGGTTTTTCCATCCCTCAGAATATATTATCAAATTCATCTTGAATGCACTTGAATTCAATAAGTATTTTACATCCCACCCCACAACTTGTAAGACAGTAGAGTCTCACTTATCCAACATAAACGAGCTGGCAGAACATTGGATAAGCAAAAATGCTGGATAATAAGGAGGGATTAAGGAAAAGCCTATTAAACGTCTAATTATGTTATGTTTTTACAAATTAAGGACCAAAACATCATGTTTTACAACAAATAGACAGAAAAAGCAGTTCAATACATGGTAATCGTATGTAATAATTCCTGTATTTACAAATTTAGCACCAAAACATCGCAATGTATTGGAACTGCTGTGGATCCGGGCGGGCGGCAGACTGCATTGGATAATACAGAACATTGGATGAGCGAAGGTTGGATAAGCGAGACTCTACTGTATTAGAATTGGCTCAAGGTGTCAGAATATTTTTTTCCTGTTTTCCAAAATAATATGCCATCTTTTTTGTATACAAGTGTGTGTATGCTGTGTGTGCACATGTATAATTTTAAGTCAAAGCAGGCTGATCAGACGCATTTAGGCTTTCTTTCCACCATGTTGTGTTTTTACTAGTCCATACATTTGCCTCCAGAAAGCTTTTACTAAAACTCAAAGGGTTTAAGCAGCTGCCAAATTTACAAAATCTGAAAGAAATGCTTTCTAATCATTTGTGAATGACCTTGTGACAAGAAATTCCTTTTAAACACATCAGTGAGTCATATATTTGTGTATCTCTTTATAACAGTTCCCAAGGATGGCCTCAAGAGCCAAGCTGCATTTGAAGAAATGAGGGCAAATTATATTAAAGAACTAAGGAAGATGGTCACAAAGCATCCAAACAGTTCTGGGCAAAGTTGGCAGCGGTTTTACCAACTGACAAAGCTCCTGGACTCCATTCATGATGTAAGTAATTTGCCTGACATAATAGAATATACTGTTTTATACAGCAACCAAATCCACAAAGCCCAAACTGAAACTAGCTGGCATCAGGATGTAATAACTACTGCTCACATTAAACTGGCACATTAATGGTAAAGCTATTGTCTCACCAGGCTTCCTTCAACATGGTGCAAGGGACACCAACCTCTGCCTACCTCTATATTTTTTCCCAAGTACAAAACAACATGTTGGAAAACAATATCTTGGTTATAGGCTTTTTGTTGAAGTTAGTCCCCAGATGTTCCAAGGTTTTTGCTTGCACAGAGAGCTTCCATGCAGACAAGCACCTCTCCTTTTTCCATGTAAGGAATGATACATGGGGTGAGGACAGAATCTTCTCTGCTCTCTTGTTGAAGAAAGTAAATCAGGCTTAAAATGTAGAAACATTGCTAAAAAAAGTCCTCTGTCTCTCTTTATGTCAGCGTTTCTCAACCTGGGGGTCAGAGAGGTCACCAAAGACCACCAGACAACACAGTATTTTCTGTTGATCATGGGGGTTATCTGTGGGATGCTTGGCCCAATTCTATCATTGGTGGGGTTCAGAATGCTCTTTGATTGTAGGTTAACTATAAGTCCCAGCAGCAACAACTCCCAAATGTCAAGGTCTATTTCCACCAAAGTCCACCAGTGTTCACATTTGGGCATATTGAGTATTGGTGCCAAGTTTGGTCCAGATCCATCATTGTTTGAGTCCACAGTGCTCTCTGGGTGTAGGTGAACTACAACTCCAAAAATCAAGGTCAATGCCCATCAAACCCTTCCAGTATTTTCTGTTGGTCATGGGAGTTCTGTGTACCAAGATTGGTTCAATACCATTGTTGGTGGAGTTCAGAATGCTCCTTGATTTTCGGTTAACTATAGATCCCAGCAACTACAACTCCTAAATGATAAAATCAACCCCCACCCCACCAGTATTCAAATTTGGGTGTTTCAGGTATTTGTGCCAAGTTTGGTCCAGTGAATAACATACATCCTGCATATGTGATATTTCCATTACGATTCAACACAGTAGCAAAATTACAGCTATGAAATAGCAACAAAATAATGTTATGGTTGAGGGGCACCACAATATGAGGAACTGTATTAAGGGGTCACAGCATTAGGAAGGTTGAGAAACACTGCTCTACGCTGAGCAAGGAAAATGAAATGGCATCATGCCTTTCTATGCTCACAGATGTCTTCTTGCCTTTTTCACATGAGAAGGAAATTAGAAAGAGGTAGAGCTTAGAGGTACCATATTCTATCTAAGATACTCCACTTTGGCAGAAAAAATGAAATGCAAAGATACAGAATGGGGGACGCCTGGCTCGAGAGCAGTACGTGTGAAAAAGATCTTGAAGTCCTCGTGGACAACAAGTTAAACATGAGCCAACAATGTGATGTGGCGGCAAAAAAAGCCAATGGGATTTTGGCCTGCATCAATAGGAGCATAGTGTCTAGATCTAAGGAAGTGATGCTACCCCTCTATTCTGCTTTGGTTAGACCACATCTGGAATATTGTGTCCAATTCTGGGCACCACAATTCAAGAGAGATATTGACAAGCTGGAATGTGTCCAGAGGAGGGCGACTAAAATGATCAAGGGTCTGGAGAACAAGCCCTATGAGGAGCGGCTTAGGACTGGGCATGTTTAGCCTGAAGAAGAGAAGGCTGAGAGGAGATATGATAGCCATGTATAAATATGAGAGGAAGCCACAGGGAGGAGGGAGCAAGCTTGTTTTCTGCTTCCTTGGAGACTAGGACGCGGAACAATGGCTTCAAACTACAAGAGAGGAGATTCCATCTGAACATGAGGAAGAACTTCCTGACTGTGAGAGCCGTTCAGCAGTGGAACTCTCTGACCCAGAGTGTGGTGGATGCTCCTTCTTTGGAAGCTTTTAAACAGAGGCTGGATGGCCATCTGTCAGGGGTGATTTGAATGCAATATTCCTGCTTCTTGGCAGGGGGTTGGACTGGATGGCCCATGAGGTCTCTTCCAACTCTTTGATTCTATGATTCTATGATTTGGGAATTCAAGCATGGTCAGCCCTGGTTAGTACTGGGAAGGAAAACTACCAATGAATACAAGGTGCTGTAGGCTGTCTTTCAGAGGAAGGAATGGAAAAAAACCACTTCTTGAGTATTCCTTATAGAATCATAGAGTTGGAAGAGACCTCTTGGGCCATCCAGTCCAACCCCCTGCCAAGAAGCAGGAAAATCGCATTCAAAGCACCCCTGACAGATGGCCATCCAGCCTCTGGTTAAAAGCCTCCAAAGAAGGAACCTCCACCACACTCCGGGGCAGAGAGTTCCACTGCTGAAGCTCTCACAGTCAGGAAGTTCTTCCTAATGTTCAGATGGAATCTTTCTTGTAGTTTGAAGCCATTGTTCCATGTCCAAGCTTGCTCCCTCCTCCCTGTGATTTCTCACATATTTATACATGGCTATCATGTCTCTTCTTGGCCTTCTCTTCTTCAGGCTAAACATGCCTAGATCTTTAAGCCGCTCCTCATAGGGCTTGTTCTTCAGACCCTTGATCATTTTAGTCACCCTCCTCTGGACACATTCCAGCTTGTCAACATCTCTCTTCAATTGTGGTGCCCAGAATTGGACACAGTATTCCAGGTGTGGTCTAACCAAGGCAGAATAGAGGGGTAGCAAGACTTCCTTGGATCTAGGCACTATACTCCTATTGATGCAGGCCAAAACCCTGTTGGCTAAGGAAACCATGTGAAATTCATGGGGTTGCAATAAGTCAAAAGGCGACATGAAGGCACTCATACATATAGACTACTACTTTGAATAGGAATAGGAACCACATGAACAGTTCCTTTTTACTTTAATTTTTAGAGGAAAATATGCAAACTTTATAGGGAATGACTGAATAAGAGGTTGTTCTCCTAACACAGTGGTTGTCAGCCTGTGGGTTCCCAAATGTTTTGGCCTTCAACTCCCAGAAATCCTAACAGCTGGTAAACTGGCTGGGATTTCTGGGAGTTGTAGGCCAAAACACCTGGAGACCCACAGGTTGAGAACCACTGTCCTAACAGATCAGTTTATAAGCTTGAGGTTCTAGCCAAGAATGATGCAAGTTGATTTTGAAGCATCTAAAAGTTTTAATCACTCCTCTTCCGAAGGGAAATCTATGAATTATGTCCAGTGCTAAGGTGGATGGATGAATGGATGGATATCCATGTGAACTTATGAGTCAGTTCAAATCAATGTATGGAAAATCAATTTAATTTATGGATTAAAATTCCAGGGAAATGTGTCGCATGATTGCAAATGTTATGAAAAATCATATATAAAAATCCCATCAGCATATGTTGCGGTTGCATCCCTGTAAATTATAATTCTAAATAGTTCTTGTTTCTGTGTAAGATTTAAAAGTATAATCTACAAATAATATGTTCAATCTTTCAAAGATTTGATTTGCATAAGTTAGTCTTCAAGTTCACTAGTTTAAATGTATTATTATTATTACTATTATTATTATTAATTTTGACATACTTCCCAATTTGTTATCTAATGAAATTTTACTTTTTTTATAACTTCTGTTTTGTGGAGCCACTAGTTTGAAGAGGATGGTCTCCTGTTAAGCGTCTCTTTAAATGCTGTTAAATTGTATAGTGCAAGGAAATAAATCCTTTAAAAGCTGTTAAATTGTATAGCAAAAGCAAGCAGGCGCCTGTACTCTATTCTTATGATGAAGCAAAGAAGTATACGTTTGGCATACATGCTGAGCACAGAATCTTTGGCCTCAGTGTCCCAGGGGCCGCATATAAATGTGCCTCTTTATACTTGACTGACTTATTTGTGAAGACACAGTACAGTATGGTGTATTTCAGGTCAAATCTGTATGAAAGCCTGAGGTCTGTTTACAGAACATGCATATGGAATTATTTGTCAAGTAATGTGCTGTTAATTAAAACGCTGAAAAATCTCGGTGGGAGTCAAGAGTATTATTAGTAGTGCAGTAACAGCTCATTCTTCAGAGACTAGCTTTGACTTGATGCGGGGAGGGGAGTCGCCGTTTTCCTGCTCAACAACCAGCTTGCTGAGCAGGAAAATACAAGTTAAAAATCCTTGTGTTACAGCCAGCAGAGCTGCATTGAAGTCAGTCAAGTCAAGTCATTATCAATTCAAATAGTTCAGATAATTGCCTAGCAGGTTGGGGCATATAAGATACTTATATTGTTTGTGTATGTGTTTGTATTTGTGTGTGTATGCATGCATATGTGTGTGTGTGTATATGTATGTGTGTGTGTGTGTATGTTTAGTATAATGTGTGGAAACCCTCAGTGGCGCAGCAGGTTAAAGTCCTGAGCTGCTGAACTTGCTGACTGAAAGGTTGGCGATTTGAATCCTGGGAGGAGGGTGAGCTCCCGCTGTTAAATGACGACCAGAGTAGGAAAGGACAATGACAATGCTAGATGGATTATGGATTTATGAACTGGCGAACGTTGACCACAAGATGATTTTATTGCTGCTATTGTATTAATTTGATTGTTTTAACTACTTATAACTGTTGTCGTTATATTGTATTTTGTATATTGTATTAAGTGAACTGTTGGGCATCGAATTGTGCCTTTTGTAAGCCACCCCCCCCCCAGGGGGTTGAGAAGGGTGAGGTAGAAGCACTCCAAATTAATTAATTAATTAATTAAACCCAGCTTTTGCCAACCTAGCAGTTTGAAAACCTGCAAATGTGAATAATAATAATAATAATAAACTTTATTTATACCCCGCCACCATCTCCCCCAATGGGGACTCGGGGCGGCTTACATGAGGCCAAGCTCAAACAACAAATTACAATAAAATAAACAACATAGCATTAAAGTATAAGACATATAAGCATATAAACAATATACACAGAACATGCAAAAAAAAGCAGTAAACCAAACATAATGACAATGAACAGGCCGCATGTACATAAAATGATTTAAAAACTCAGGGTGAGATAAAGGAGCAGATTATTTGTAAGGG